GCGCGGCGGTGCTCCCGCCCGAGGGTTCAGATCCCACATACAGACCGGTTCCCGCTCACTGGCTGAGCGAGGCGCAGGAGCAGCACCAAGGGTTGCGATCCCGTGCAGCCAAGGTAAGCAGGCAGCTGCCTGGCAGCCCAGCCAGGGCTCCACCTTCACTCCCAGGTCAATGCCAGGAGGCCCAGCAAGGGGTCTTCAGGGCCAGCTCCAGCCACCTGGTGGGGCTGCCTGGGATCACGGCAGAGGGGGGATGTGGGGAGCGAGGATTTAGCCTGCAATTCCCCCGCCAGCATGGTGAGGAGGTGTCCCCGGCAGCCAGTGACCTGGCCATGGTGCTGACCCGTGGCCTGAGCCTTGAGCACCAGAAGAGCAGCCGGGACTCGCTGCAGTACTCAAGCGGCTACAGCACTCAGACCACCACACCCTCATGCTCCGAGGACACCATCCCCTCCCAAGGTAGGCCAGGAGGGCTGCAGTCCCTGCGGGCTGGGAGAAGGTTACTGGGCCTCACTGTCCCTTGGCCCCACCCTGCCAAGGACACCCATGACTCCACCGCACAGGAGGGCCCTGTCCTTCCCTCTCCATGTCTACCCTGGGCTGGTGGGATCTCGGGGGTACCCGGGCTCCAGGCTCACTGCCTCCTGGGCCCACCCCCAGGCTCAGACTATGACTGCTACTCTGTGAACGGGGATGCAGACAGCGAGGGCCCGTCCGAGTTCGACAAGTCGTCCACCATCCCACGCAACAGCAACATCGCCCAGAACTACCGTCGCCTGATCCAGACCAAGCGCCCAGCCTCCACCGCCGGGCTGCCCACTGCAGGGCTGCCTGCAGCCACCGGCCTGCCCTCTGGCGCACCCCCCGGCGTGGCCACCATCCGCCGCACGCCCTCCACCAAGCCCACCGTGCGCCGCGCCCTGTCCAGTGCTGGCCCCATCCCCATCCGGCCACCCATCGTCCCCGTGAAGACACCCACGGTGCCCGACTCCCCAGGCTATGTGGGGCCCACACGGGCAGGCAGCGAGGAGTGTGTGTTCTACACTGACGAGGCCGCCTCACCCCTGGCGCCAGACCTGGCCAAGGCCTCCCCGAAGAGGCTCAGCCTGCCCAACACAGCCTGGGGCAGCTCGGCCCCCCCGGAGGCGGCCAGCTACCCCGGGGCAGGGGCAGGGGCTGGGCTGGCGGCCGAGGATGACGAGGAGCAGCAGCAGCAGCAGTTGGCTGCCAACCGCCACAGCCTGGTGGAAAAGCTCGGGGAGCTGGTGGCTGGTGCCCACGCCCTGGGCGAGGGCCAATTCCCCTTCCCCACTGCCCTGTCGGCCACCCCCACAGAGGAGACGCCCACCCCACCCCCTGCCGCCACCAGCGACCCACCTGCTGAAGACATGCTGGTGGCCATCCGGCGCGGGGTCCGGCTCCGCAGGACCATCACCAACGACAGGTCGGCGCCCCGCATCTTATGATGGCGCCGCCCCCCCCACCCTCTCTGGCCCCAGCATGAGCAGGCGGCCTGGTCCCGGCCACTCAGAGCAAAGACACAGCCAGGAGAGAGAACGGAGTCAGGGAAGAGGCAAAGCCACTTTATGGAAGGGGACACCCGCAGTGACATCCAGCACTGAAACGGGAAGTGACTTCTTTAACAAACCTGGCCAGGATGGAGCCTGCAGGCTTTGGGCTGGTTTTGGAACCTGTTTTATACTTTTCTTGTCTACTCTGTTCCTCCTCTTCCTGCCTGTAGGCCTTTTCCATACCCTAGCGAGCACCAGAGCCATGCCCCCTGCCACGACAGTGGCCAGGCCAGCCTCGCCACCAGCCCCTGGCCAACTTCTCCATGGGCTGGTGGTGCTCCAGCTCTTCCTTGAATGCCGGCTCCCTCCTGTCCCCTGGCTGAGTCCCCCTCTCCTTCCCTCCTGCCTTCTCTGCCTTTCCCAGGTTCTTGTCTGTCTGGGAGGCAGGGTGGCTGTGGAGGGGATGGGTGGCCATCGCGGGGGCAGGCGCCTGTTCGGCTGAGGTATCTGACTTGTGGCTGTGGGTTGGGGAAGCAGGCTGAAGTTGGAGGGCGAGGCCTGCCCATGGGGGAAGGGCAGGAAGTCTCGGGGAGGAAGTCCAGGGGAGGCTCAGGGGACCCTAAGGTGGCCCCCACCTCCCCCGTGAGGCATGGCTGGAGTGGGGGGTGGCAGCCTAAGGTGGTCCCTCCTCCCCCATGAGGTGTGGCTGGAGTGGGGGGCAGCACAGGGCAGCCCCTCAGGAACAGGGCAGCTGAGAAAAGCGTCAGAGGCTTAGGGGTCACCTGGCCAGCCACACGGGCACTGCATTCAGATGTCCAGTTGTCATCTGGGCACATCGAGACTAATTCTGGTGGTACTTTGGGGTCACAGTTTCAGCCTCCTTTGCAGCTGGGGGCTGGAGCAGTAGAGGGTGTGGGGGGTTTTATGAATATAATAAAATGGAGCTGACTCTGGACGAGGTAACGGGTACAGGGTGTATGTCTGCGAGTGCCTAAGGGACAGGGGGCCCCACTGTGGCCTGGTGGCCGATGGCAGGAAGAGATAGGGGAATTGGCTCCTCAGAAGCAGAGGAGCATAGCCAGGCTAAGGTTGAGGGTGCCAGGGCAGGGGCAGGGAGTGAGTCTGGGAAGACTGGCTTTGACTCTGTTGCCAGAGGAGATGCCATGCCAGTACGGCCCCCGCTGCACTCCCGGGCGGGGGCGGGGTGGAGGGTGCCCTCCCACTCCATACACCAAGTCAGCCAAGTCTAAGCAGGTAAAAGCATGTGAGCCTAGGGCGAGCGGAGGGTTCCTGGTAGTCCTACGGGGCAGTCGAGAGGCAGCAGGGCTCAAGGGCTTCCCTGGGGGTCGGGGCAGCTGGCTGTCCTTGGTCTTGATGGATGGAGTTGGTCAGATCCTCGAGCTCAAGCTCGAGCTCCTGGGAGTTGTGCCATGAGCTGGGATCCTGGCAGGGTAACCAAGGACGTCCCTGTGTGGACAGAGCCCCCACTGGGCTCCCTGAGGGCTGATGGTGAATAGCCCCTTTGAGTCACCCAGCCCACCAAGCTCAGGCCAACACCAGAGCCCCAGGGGTGGGTGCCAGGAGACCAGGCAACCAGTTTTGGGAGCCCTGGGTGGGACTTGTGCTGCACCTTCTCCCCAGGGCTGTGTCAGGGCTTGGCCCAGGTGGGCTGATGACACAGGATGCAGGACGTGTGACAGGAATGGTGTGAGGAATAGCTGCCAGGCTGTGGGTGGCCCTAGAGGCCTCGCCCTGGGGGTAGCTGCACAGGGGCGGGGCACCCTGGGCCCCCCAGGCTGATGGGGAGGGAGGCAGGGGCTTCCCAGGGGGTGGGTGGGTGTGGCCCAGCTCCTCGCTCTGTCTCCCCCTCGCCTCGGAGCCCCCCATGGCTGTACATACTCTCCATCCCCTCGACCATCCCCTTGACCACCCCCTCGCTCTCCCGTCGATTTAGTGACCACCTCATAGGCCCACCCCCTCGGGATCCGAGCCAGCCATCCCGCATCACAGACTTTGGTTTGGGGACTTCTTTACGTTGGTTTTATTTTTCATTTTGTACAGAGAAATATTCTTTTCAAAAGCGTCTTTTGACTGAAGTAACTTTTCTGGTGCTGTTAACTTGTTCCTTTTTTTTAATTTATTTTCCCACCCCAGGCTGCCCCTCCTGGTTCCTACTCACCCCTTCTCCCCCCCGCCTTCCACCCCATTCTTCCATCCCATCTGAACCATTTTCTTTTCTTTCTGTCTGTTTTTGGATAAATTCTCTCCTCCCTGTCCCCTCCACCCCATCCTCCCCTTGATTTAAGTAGTCACTGCTACAAGTAACAAATGCACTGTGAAGATTCCAGTATTAATAAAGTTGTACTGTAATTAACACCCCTGCCTCTGCCTGGCTTCCCTGGACGGCTGCTGCCCGCCTGCCCCCGGCCTCTCCCATCTGAGATCCTAGCTGCTTGGAGCCAGGACTAGGACTCCTGGAGTCTCAGGTCTGAGTGTCACAGGGCAGGAGTGGCCAGGTCTTCGGCCCAGACTGGATCTTAAATGCCTCTGCTCTGTCCCTGCTGGGGGGTGGCTGGGGACAGCCAGATGGTGGGAGGGAGGATGTCCTGGTCACTGCCAGGGCATCAGCCCCAACATCCCCAGGCCTGCTGAGGCTCCAGGGGCTAGAAGAAACCAATCCTTAAATTCCCTGGGAAAGGCTGGTCCACTCCAAATCCCAATCTGCCACCCTCCTCCCACCTCCTCCAGGTTCACCCTCACAGATGCAAACCAAACCAAACCAAACAAAGTGGACGTTTAATAGAAAAAATAAAAGGAACTGGAAGAGCATCCACTTGTGGCAAGATGTGGCACCGGCACTGGCCTCTGCCTGGTACTCCGCCTCGGCCGGACTGGAAAGCCTCCGTGAGTCTCGGGTCGCTGCATCGTCCCCCATCCCCACCCGCCCATCAGGCACAGCTCTCGCTGCTGCGGCACAGGAGCTATTCAGCACCCTCTCCAGTGGGGGACAACCAGGAGGGGCCGGGAGCGCTTCCCGTCCACCTTCAGGTCCCCCAGCCTCAAAGGAAAAACACCTTCCCAGGGTTCCTGGCCGAGGGGCTTCCCACCACCACCTGGCGAAGTCTCAGGTCCAGTAGACCTGTGGGGGCTCGTCCAGCAGCACCACCCAGGGTCACCATGCCAGCTGCTCAGGGCAGGAGGCCTTCGGCCTGTGCCCCGAGCAGCTTCACTGAGCGCAGGGAGCGGGGCAGGGAGGTGGGGGGCTGCCGGGGTAGGGGGTACAGCGGGGCGGCCACACACTGCAGCGAGGGCTCTGGGCCATGGGGCTGAGGTCTTGGCACCTCACAGTCCTGCCAGTTTAGGACGGAGCTTTGTTTACCTACAAGGGACAGAAAAAAAAAGAGAGAGAGAGAGACTGCAGGAGTGGTCGAGACCACCCTCCCCCCAGACCGAGCCACATGCTCTTGGCATCTCGACTTCCAGAAATGGCCTGTAGCCCTGGGAGTAGAGGGCATGCCAGGAAGGCACCCGCTCTGCCCGCTGAGCTGGGTCTGGTCGCCGCCTCCCACCCCAGCCCCTGCACAGGCCGCTCCTCACAGCAAGAGCAGTACAGCAGCTCCATGACCCGGAAGCAGTTGTCCAGCAGGGCCTTGGGCCGCACCAGCTTCAGGCTCAGCCCGGGGGCATTCAGGACGGACAACACCGCTTCCACCTTGGGGCTGGCCTCCACATCCTGGAAGGGAGAAAACCGTCAGGACCAGCGAAGAGACAGTGGGGTCACACCACAGGAGAACCGTGGTGCTGCCGACCTGGAGCTGCCCAAAATCAAGGAAGAAAGACTTGACTTCCTGTGACCAGGAGCCCATGAGCAATTTCTCACCTTCTTCCTGCAGACACAGGGAGGGTCCCAGTCGCCGCCCCTCACCCAAGCACAACACGGAGGCTTCTGCTTTTCTAGCATTGGAAAAATGACCACAGGGTGCAGGCCGGGATGGGGGAAATTGGGGCATCCTTGCTCCTCCCACATGAGGAGCCCCTGACCTGGGGAAAACTACCCTTCAGGAAGCGAAGACCTCTGTTGACCCCCAAGAAACAAGAGAAGACCTCATGAGAAACACTGAGGCACAAGTCACACAGGCAGGGCCGGTGTCCAGTTCTAAGCTCAGGTGGCTTCTCTTCATAATATGTACCAAACAAGAATATGTGGGGAGCACTGGGGCAGTGAGGGAGGAAAGTCCCTGAACAGGCGGCCAGGGCCATTGCAGAAGGCATCATGGGGAATGTGGGGCCTGGGCTGGGACAACCTTCCTGAAGGAGGTGACAGCCCAGGCAAAGTGTCCTAGGCTGATCGGTGTCTCCCATCCCCCTGCAAAAAGCTACCTCCCAGCCCTACCCCTTGGCACCGTGTGACCCTATTTGGGACTCCAAAACTGTGAGAGAATAAATTCCTGTTTTAAGCCACCCAGTTTAGGGTAATTTGTTACAGCAGCCCTAGAAAACTCATACACAAAGGTGGAATAAGGATGGCAGGAGGAAAAAAGAGGCACAACCCCAGGGCCCCCAGAACCCAGCTGCCCAAGAGGTGTGTCCCCACACCCTGATGCAGGGCCATAGCCCTCGGGGCCACAGTGCCATCCAGAGACACTCAAAGTGAAGGAGAGCTGGGTAGGAGACCCTCTTCCAAAAGCCTCAACAGGAAAACAGTTTGGCAATTCCTTAAAAAGCTAAACATAGAGTTACCATACAACCCAACAATTCCACTCCTAGGTATATGCCCCAAAAGAATTGAAAACAGGTTCTCAGGTATTTGTGTACCAGTGTTCACTGCAGCATTGTTCACAACAGCCAAAAGGTGGAAACAACCCAAGACAAATGGATAAACAAAGTGTGGTATATACACAACACGGAACATTATTCAGCCCTGAAAAGGACCGGATGGCTGGCCGGACAGCTCAGTTGGTGAGAGAATAGCCTTATAAGACCAAGGTCATGGGTTCAGATCTCCGTACTGGCCAGCCACCAAAAAAAAAAAAAGAGAGAGAGATTGCAGTTCTGACATATTCTATGATGTAGAGAAACCCTGAAAACATTTCACGACATGAAAGAAGCCAGACACAAAAGGACAAACATTGTGAGATTCCCCTTACATGCAGGACATAGAACAGGCAAATACGAGGGCACTTCAAAAAGTTTGTTTAAAAAAAATGGAAGTAAAAGATCATATGATCCTTCCATGATCTTTTCGAAGACCCCTTGTACATAGAACAGAAAGCAGATTACAAGGGGCCAGGGGTGCAGCGAGGTGGAAATGGGGAGTGACTGTGGAATGGCTACTTTTAGTTTCTTTTCGAGGTGAGAAAAGAGTTTTGGAAATGGGCGGTGGCGATGGTTGCACAACACTGTGAATGTAATTAATGACACTGAATTGTATACTTAAAAAGGTCAAAATGGCAAGTTTTATGTTATAAAATGTGCTCCCTCCTGCACAGCCCCCAAATCTTCACCTAGGACCTTGTTTTTGTTTCTGTCCTAAGGAAACAATGACAGCAAGGGGAAATATGGTTCAGGAACAGAGCAGAGCCCAGAATCCAGGCAGCGCTGCCCTGCGCAGCAGACAAGCAGGCAGAACGAAGTCATCGAATCAGAGTTTTAAAGCTGGATATGATTTCAGGCTTCACTGCAGCCCCGTCCCTTTTACAAGTGATGAATCTGAAGCCCAGAGGCGAAACAAGCCGTTCACAGTCACCATGGGCAACAGAGCCCTGGTGCCCAACCCCCAGGCCAGTCTGCTTCTGTATGACACAGCCCCTGGGAGATTTAATAGAAAAAGAAGTCTGAAGGGTGGTTTTTCTATCAGTTAATCCATCTTAAAAGCTAGGTCAGAGACTACTGACATTGTTAGAGAGAAGAAAGATTTAACAGCTGGTTAAATCTGAATAATAAAACATACCCGTATGTGCAACACTTTAAGCAAAAGAGTCCAGGCCCAGGTCAGCTCTAGCACACATCTTGCCCATGGGCACAAAAGAGCCACCAGGAAAATGGTTGGGTCTCCAGACCTCTGCAGGAATTGTGTCCTGGGAAAGTTCTAGGCAGCTGTAAAAACAGTTGCTGGTCCCTGAGCCCTCCTCTCACGGCAGCTCACAGCTGGGGTTGGATGTTCTGGCTGGCGCTGGGCCTTGTCAGCATGAGGCCAGGTAGCCAGCTGAGCAGTGCAGCAGATGGGCCCGGGGAGGGCTGGCGGGTTGGGCAAGATAGCAGGAGGGTTGGGAACGGGTCCCGCGGCACCCACTGTCCTGCGTGGGCAGTGATGATCCTGCCACCTAACTTTTTAGTATGACTCAGAGAATATCTGTGAGGTCTCAGATCGGTCCTCCTGAGTGGAGGAAGAGGGGGACCTCTTTTTTTTTTTTAATTAACTAATTTTTATTAATTAACTGAAGTCCACAGCTTACATTAGGTCCACACTCTGTGTTGTACAGTTCTACGGGTTTTGACAAATGCATAATGTCAGGTATTCACCATTATTCCCTCCTCTCTCTCCTCCAAAGGAACCTCATTTCTTACATGCAGAAACCAAGTCAGAAGGTTCAAGGATCCATGGTGACAGAGACACAGCCTGGAACAGAGTCTCAGGGGCCTCTTCTGCCCCACCCCCAGCCTGGCTCACACGGTCATCACGGTGGTCATCACCACCCCCTCTTCCCTCCACAGTCTCCTTTTTCTGCACCCCTCCCCTACTCCTCCCACCCCTCAGGAAATGCCCGAACTTTCCATGCATTCACTTCTTGCCTCGACAGCCTTAGCCGTTGAGACTCTCACACACACACACACACACACACACACATTCACACACACACACTCAAACACACACACACACACACCCTGCCTGCCCGCACCTCTGCATAGCCCACCTGCAGGCCCTGCTGGACATCAAGCAGCAGCGTCTGCACCTCCTGCAGGTACTTCCAGGACGGGTGGTCCTCCAGCAACACATCCTGCACCGACTCAGTAGCACTGAGACTCACTAAGACCCACAGGTACCGCAGCTCCCGCTCACTCACACGGGCCTTCTGCTGTGGGGACAAGAGAAATCACTGGAACCCCTGAGACACTGGCCTCTCAGCTCTGACACTCCCCACACACACATAGGGAGCAGAGGTCCAGGCATCCACTGTGGACGGTGGCAACCTTGGGCCTGGGCTTGCTCGGGGGGCCAGGAAAAGGGCCCTAACCAGCAATGTGACCTGCCAAGATCAACGCACCTCCCAGGCTGGGGCCACAGTGTCACAGGAGGCAGGGGGCTCCCCAGCCCAGCAGGAGATTCTCACCAGCCTGGTGATGTTGGCGATCCTGAACACCCCCTCATAAGGCACGCTGATCCTGTAGTTGATGGGGAAGTATTGTTTCTGGGGGTACAAGAACAAACCGCAAGGTTAGAGGCAGAAATGGCTTAGTCTCCCCAAGCTCCCGGATGAAGGTTGATAAGCAGGAGAGGCCCCAGGCCCAGCCCTTCAATGGCAGAGGTGGCCCTCTACAGAGGAGGTGTGCCTGGCCCCCAACTGGGACAAAGACAGCTCGCTTTCCTCTGGGACACAGGGAGGGTGAAACAGGACACGTGGTTTCTAAGGCAGACGTTTCAGGCCCGGGAGAGGACGTGCTACTTCAAGAAACACATATTATTTTGGTGGGGTGGAAGATGTCCTAAAAATTATTATGGTGATGGCTGCTCAACTCTGTGAACATAGTAAAAACCACTGAGTTGTGCGCCTCATTTATTTTTTGGGCTGCTGAACAGTACAATGATGGCTGCTCAACTCTGTGAACATAGTAAAAACCACTGAGTTGTGCGCCTCATTTATTTTGGGGGGCTGCTGGACAGTACAGTCCCATCTCCTTGCCCTTGCTTGCTTGCTTGCTTTTTTTTTGGCGGCTGGTATGGGGATCTAAACCCTTGACCTTGGTCTTACAAGGCTGGGCTCGAACCAGCTGAGCCAACCAGCCAGCCTGAATCGTAGGCTTTAAATGGGTGAACTGGTATGTCAGTCACATCTCAATAAAGCTCAGAGCCACGCAGGTGTCTCCACTGTATGAAAAGTAACGAATGTTCCAGTTTCTAGGTCTTTATCTCCCGCACTAAGTGCCTGGGGTTCCCCAAAGGGCTCCTGGAGTCCATTTCTGTGTCATAGAGCAGTGCCACGTGGAGAGGGATCAAAGGTCAGCTCAAGCAGGAGGGGTGGAGGCCCCGGGAGATGGCAGGAGAGGGGACAGTAAGTGCAGACAGGCATGTGGGTTGTGTGTGGAGAAAGGTGGAGAAGGGGTAAGCTCGGGGCTGACCCAAGTCATGGAGGGGTCCCAAATGTCCAGAGCCCTGCGCCAGGTGAGCTGTGAAGCTTGGGAACAGGGACGCAGTGGTGCCTGTGTGAGTACCATGTACTGAAGCCGGTTCTTGTACTGCAGCTTGTCCCGCAGAAAGCCGGTGACGGCACACTCCTCATTCCGGGTCAAGGGCCACACCTCCAAACCCTCGTTTCCCAAGGTCATGCCAAGGAGGATCCCAAGATCTGTGGGGCACACCGGGCAAGAGCACGTGAGCCCACACCCCGCGTCCACACTGCCCCGGTATACACGGCGCTCATCCATTTTCACGGGTTACGAGTACTGATGGGAGAGGCCACAGTGGGCACACAGAGCCCTGAGAAGGACTTCCCACCCTGAACCCAGGATGCTGTCCCTGGGGTCTAGGCTCCAGGACAGCAAGGACAGACTGGCATGAGCAGCCCAGGTGGCCCATGTCCACCCCACCCCTGGCCTGAAGAGCTCCCCAGGAGGTCTCCCCTGGGCTTGTCTCCAATTCTCTCCCCCTTGCCCACCCCATGGGGCAGGCACAACCTCAGCCCCTCCTCTAGGGGGGACATGTTTTCAAAGCCGGCTGCGGGATTTTCCCTCCAGGGATTCAGGAGATGTGGATGACTCTTTGGTGACCCAGCTGCTTTCTTCCTTGCTGTATCTGACCTTGGCATCGCTTAGTTAAATGTACCAGTGAGTCTCAGCCCCTCCTGGTTTGGTTATTCTGGGATGCTAAGCAGATCTCACAAAGACTATTCCTGCAACACACGAGCGCGGCCTTTTGAAACATCACCAGCATTTACCACTGGGGGTCACTGTGACCTCAAAAACAGCCTTCGTGGTTCCCCCATAACAGAACAAACAAAAAATATGAGAATTTCCAACAAATAGAATAAGGGTTAAGTCGATCCTAGTAGAAAGTACAAAACAAAAACAGGCAAGAGATGTGTCCAAAAAATCAACCTCACCAATAAGATAAAGAAATGTGCGTTAAAACCATCAGATGCCATTTTTTCATCTATTAAAATGGAGAGGTTTTTGTGTTTTTGTTTGATTTGTTTGAATGTACTTGATGCTGGCAAAGTCGTGAGACAGGAGTTCTGATCCTGGAGAGCAATTCGGCAATTTTTGTTATTAATGGACTTATAACGTCCATACCCTCTGACCCACTAGACTCACTTCTAGGAATAAATTGGAAGGAAAACAAAAAAAAGAGACATAACCAAATTGTGGGTAAAGACTTACACCACAGCATTATTTTATAATAGTAAAAATCTGTAAATGGCCTAGATATTCTATTATAATGATTGCAGCCAATAAAAATCACATTGTCCAAGAATGCTTATGATACGTTTATGAGGTGAGAAAAATATGTGCAATGCACTCTGTGAAGTTTTAAAGAAAGCATGATTCAACACTGTGTGATACGTGGCATACATCGTATGACCTGAATTTTGTCAATTATACAGTATCCATGTGTGGTTGGAAAATGTGTTAGAAATTCATACCAAATCTCTGTGGGAGATTTTTATGTTCTTTATATTTTGTAGGATATTAATGATCTTTTTTCTTTCTTTTTGCAAAACCCAGGCCGGCTGTCTCCTCCCTGATTCACCCCTGATTATGAGTAGGAATTACTGATGGATTTTCCCTACTCACTTCCTCACACCTAGGAAGACTTTCGTACTCACGATCCCCTTCCGCTCCCTGACCTGGGCCCCACAACCTGTTCTCTGTCCCTTCCCCACCCACGTCTTCCTCCAGACCCACCCTGCTGGGTCCTGCCTTTGCTCCTGCTGGAGCCCTCAACTGGGATCCTCAGGTCTACTCAGGCCCTGTGCCCTGTGTGGGCGGCGGCCGGCCAGCCCTTCCCCTTGACAGAACTCCAATGACCACGTTTTCTGCAAGGTCGCAAGTTCGCAATCCATCTCATACTTCCTTCCTCTCTCCCTCTTCCCACATGCCTGACACAGTGTTGGGCCAAAAGAACAGATAAACACAAACCAAACTAGCGAGTGCCCCTTCAACATCTGCTTGCTCTCTGTCTTGTCTCTAACTCACTAACCCTCTCAGCTTGGCACCCACCCCTGTAGGTCAAGGTCATTCCTGCCTGCAGGGTTTTATGCTTTGCCCTGTCCTGGGCATCCTCTCACACTACAGATGGAGACTCTTCCCCCTCATCACCCGGCATGCCCCCCCAGGGTCTCCCCTGCCTACACCACCCCCACCATCTACCCAATTCACTCATTACCTTGACCAGACAACTTTGCCCTTAGCATGTGAATCCATAATGCTGACAACTCCAGCATGGTCTGGTTTACTGAGCACTTCACACGAGAGTTTTGGGATTTACCTCGAGCAGTTGAAACGGGATCAGGCAGCAGGATCCCCTGGGGAGCTGGGTAAAGCACAGATTCCCCGGCCCCACCCCAGGGCCTCTGATTCACCAGGTCTCAGGCAGGGCAGGAGAATTTGCCTTTCTAACAAGTTCCCAGGTGATGCTGCTGGTCTGGGACCGCGCTTTGAGAACCAGGGACCTACAGCAACAGCTGCAAGTTGAGGTCCCAAGGGCCACATCTGGTCCACAGGGATTTCACATAAAAATCCAAATTCGCAGGGCAGGAGAATTTGCCTTTCTAACAAGTTCCCAGGTGATGCTGCTGGTCTGGGACCGCACTTTGAGAACCAGGGACCTACAGCAACAGCTGCAAGTTGAGGTCCCAAGGGCCACATCTGGTCCACAGGGATTTCACATAAAAATCCAAATTCCCATCTTTTCTTTAGAAATCAGTGTCTCTGTCCACACTGGGTCTTCCTTCCCCTGTGGCAGTCACCACTGGCTGTCCACTCCACCTCCCAAGCCCTACCCCAGATGCTCTTATCTGTGCCCTGGTCTGGGGCTTTCAGGGCCTGGCAACTGTGGCCTCAGGGCAGGGATTGTGTCTCAGGGTGCCACCGTGCCTCTCAGCCTGGCACAGGTGGGCACAGGAGCTGCCCCAGAAACCCTGCCCATAGATGACCTGCCTTCCCCCAAACTGGGCAGCATTCCTCTACATCTGCAGCCCGACCACCATTTCTAATTTTAAGCTTCTTTTCTACTGCCTCACCTGGAGAAATAGGCCAACAATGGGGGGCCAGGCAGGGACAGCACAGCTGCAAACTCAGGACCACTCTCCCCCCCGTTGCTCTGCACCCCAGGAGCCCCAGAGCCAGTACGACACCTGCCCCCTCTCCCTGCAGAGATAACCCACAGGACAGAAGAAGAGGCTGGAGAACAATCAAGTAAGAAGCTCTCTTCCTGGCTCCCTGGCCCAGGGTTGGGGTTTAGGGGGACCTGTCCCCTCCCTCAGCTGACCCTTCGTGCAGTGACAAATGAGGCTTGTCACTCCCACCCCCAGCAACCAAGTCTGTGCCTGTATAGTGTGTTGAACAGCATCCCCCCAAATTCATGCTCACCTGGAATCTCAGAATGTGACCTTATTTGGAAATAGGTTCCTTGCATGTGATTAAGCGAAGGATCTCAAGATGAGACCATCCTGGATTTAGGGAAGGCTCCAAATCCAATGACTGGTGTCCTTGCAGGAAGAGGAGGACAGAGATACACAGAGGGAAAGGCCATACAAAAATGGAGGCAGATTGGACTGATGCTGCCACAAGCCAGGGAACGCCAGGAGCCACCAGAAGCTGGAAGAGGCAAGGAAGACCCTCCCCTAGAGCCTTCCGGGGGAGCGTGGTCCTGCTGACACCCTGATTTCAGACTTCTGGTCTCCAGAACAGTGACAGAATAAATTTTCTGTTGTTCTAAGCCACCCAATTTGTGGTCACTTGTTACGGCAGCCCAATGTCCCCCAGCGCCCAGCCCCTCTGGCTGCAGCCCCTGCCCTGCATCCCCTCCGTCTGCCTCACCTCCAGCCAGTCCTAGCCAAGTCCTAAGATCTGCCTCCCAGAGCTTTCTCCCCTCTGCCAGGCCTTTTCACTCTCACCTGCGCCTCTGGAGCTGACCCTCATTCCCTCCTGCAAGGACACCTGCAATGCGATTTCTACAAGCATCGCCAGCCTGATCTTTAAAAGCAGAGGAACTTCCAGCCACGACCCTCACCACCAGCTCACAGACCCTGCAGGCTGCCTGTTATCTGGTGAGGTAGACACGCTTTGCCTGGCCTCCAAGGCCTCGGCCAGCGGGGCCCAAACCCGCCTTCCCGCCTGGCCTCTCACAGTCCTGCCACTGAGCCTTCGCTCACGCTGTTCCCTCTGCCTGGAGCAGCGGCCTCACTGCCCTGCCTTGGAGGCCACTTCAAGTGGCACCTCACCCATGGCTGCTTCCCCTGCTCCTCATGACTGCAAGTGTCCAGAGCACTGGGTCTGCCTGGGCCCTTCCACCTGTTCTGAATGTCCTGTCCCTCCACAAGGGCCCCGGGGACCCAGCCCTTATCTGAATCCCTCGCAGGCTCAAGGCCTCTGCCTCGTTTATGCAGCAAGTAGTTCCTGAGCTCCCACCTCCATGCCAGGCATTGGAGACAGAGGCACGAGACAGACCAGGTCCTTGTTGTCATGGCAGTGACTTTCCAGTGGGCACGTGGGAGGCAACAGAAAAATATGTTGAATTTGAGTCAGTTAAAGTGAATCCTGGAGTCTGACGGGACCTTGGTCTGGCCTCCCACCCAGCCCACATGGAGGCTTCCAGAACCTTTTTTTTTTCTGTCCTCATTTCAACTTATTTCTCTTTTTACAGACAACACTCTTACCTCTCTGCTTTTTAATTTCGTTCCTTTACTGAGGGAGGGATAGAGAGGACAGGCTGCCTTCTCTGGGCACCTGGCCACACTTCTCCCACGTGTCTTGGGTCCCTGGCACTTCCACCAGTCCTCACCCCATGCCCACTGGCCACACCCAGAGAGGCTGGAAATCCTCCCTCTGCCACCTACTGTACTCCTAGCACCAACGAGTCTGAGAAGGTGAGATGCTGCCACCTACCCCCATGGCCTGCCCCGTCCCTGTGACCACCCACTGACTGTGCCCACGCAGCCTGAGCCTCACGCCCAGCACGCCCGTCCAAACCTGGGATCAGCTACACACGGGGCAGAGGGCAGCCTGGGAGTCCCCGAGGACGCTTGCAGTCAGGCTGGGAAGCATCTTCATTTCTCACCAGCAAGAATGCCCTGGTTGTCATGGTTACGGAAGAGCCTAGCTCTGGGCCAAGGCCTCTGGGGCAGGTCCCCGGGGACCCCCAGTACTCACAGCGCAGCCAGGCGAATCCCTGGAGCATGGTGGTGTGCTCGGTTCCCGGAGAGCAGAGGCACTGTCCCCAGTGGTGTGTCCACAGAGGTCCGAGCAGGCCCTACATGGTCTCAGGTCAGCAAAAGTGGCCACCAAGTCAGGGAAGGGCTGGCCCCGGAGGAGCAGCCGGGCAGGGGAAAGAGGGCAGGTGCTCCTGGGGCAGCAGCTGCCCTTATCTGCCTGGCAGGGCAGAGGACAGCTGGGGGGCGGTGGCTGTGAGTCCCATTGCGCCCCTGGAGCTGGTCTGAGACAGAGGCCTTGGGTCTTCCTTCCCGAGGAGGAGGAGGAGAGAGTCCCTAGCAGGCCCCTCGGAATCTCTGGCTGGGTTGGCGCTTTCTCTGATTTCTCTGACTGCAGCGGCTCAGTGTGAAATCTGGCTCTGGAGAGAGAAAGGAGGAGAGAAACCGATTATGTAAGAGCAGCGCTGCCACTCAGCCTCCAGCCACAGCAGAGGAGCCACCACGTACGCTGCACCCACTGCCTGCGCCAGGACCACCACCCTGGCTGCTGATGACACGGGACACAGGCTCACACTCAAGAAATGACCTCAGAGAGCATCCGAGCAGCAGCCCCGCCCCAGGAGTGAGTTACGGTGACAGAAGCCTTGGGCCTGAACAAAAGCAGGACTAAGGAATGAACAGGCAGTGTGGGCTCACGCACCGAGCAGGCTTCCTGAAGGAGGTGACATTCTAGGGAAGTCCGTGAATGGCTCAGGCTGCAGGCGAGGCTTAAAAAAGCAGCAGCAGGTCATCCAGCCCCGCTCACCTTCGGACTTAGTCCCACCCTCGTGTTTCTCCACATCTGCCTACCCTGTGAGTAGAGTTACCAGGTCAACATCGGGCATCCAGTTAAATGTGACTTAGGATAAACAATGAATACTTTTTTTAGTATAATTTTGCCATGAATAATTTTTTAGTATAAGTACATTCCAAATATTGCATGGAACATACTTATGCTAAAAAAAGTATTCATTGTTTACCTGCATTTCCAAATGAACTCGAAGTCCTTATTTTTTTTTTTTTTTGCTGAATTTGGTGACCCTACAATACTAATGGGGTAGCTCTTCCTGAGAGCTCACTGTGTGCCAGACCCAGAGCTAAAGACTTTATATTCACTGAATCCTCATAACAATCTTATGGGAACCATAAAATCTCATTTGATCTACGAGGAAACTGCGATGCAGAAAGGTTAAGACCCTTGTCCAAGTTCACACAGCTTGTCAGAAGTGTAACAGGAATTCAAACCCGGCCTGCTGGTGGCCACTCCTGCAAGTCACCATCCACGTGGGGCTCAGCGCTCTCATTCGGTCACGTCATCCGTGCCTCGCTGACTCTGCAAGGTATGGACGGTTGTCCTCATTTTGTATACGAGGCTGAGTTGGCCAGCGGCAGAGTCGGCTCTAAAATTCAGTCTCTGACTGGGCTCTATCCCATCTCCTTGCCCTCCCCCCATTTCTTCTCTGCTCAGGGGAAATGGCCACAGGTTGATGGCTTGAGGGGAAAGTAGGTGTGGTTTAGGGGTCTTCTCCTTTGTGGCATCCACGGCCACCCCACAGAACATGCCGGAAGTGCTGGCCCTTCCCCTGGGAGGTCCCCAGCAGGCAGGCACGGCTCACACGGAGAAGGTGGGCTGCTCACACCCACCTCGTGTGGAGTCTGCCGTGGGTCTCAGCCCGGCCACCGCCTGTCCCCCTCCTCCAGCTCACCCCTGCAAGCTCCTGGCTATTTTCCAGCCTCACCACACACACTAATCAGCTGTAACTTCCAGTTGTCATCAATTTGGGTTTTGTTTTCTTTCAGGTTTATTGAGGTATAATTTACCTTTTTAGTGCCCAATCCTAAGAATTTTGTCAAATTCCTAGAGTCATGTAACCATTACAATAATCCAGATATAAAATATTTCCACCTACCCCAAAAAAATCCCTCCTGCCACTTTGTAGTCGTCTCCTCCTCCTGCCCCGCCCCAGGCAACAACCTATCTGTTTTCTGTCCCTGCCTCCCCAGCACGTGCTGTCGGTGCAGTCACAGGGCGCAGCCTCTGTGTCCCGCCTCCTTCACGATGTAGGCTGCATTTGGGACCCAGCTGCACTGTCGCACACATTAGCAGTTGGCTCCTTTTCCTTGCTGCGTAGTATTCCATTGTACAGACGGACCACTGTTAGTCCAGCCACCAGCTAAAGGGCATCTGGGTTGTCTCCAGTTTTGACGACTATGAATAAAGCCCCTACAAGCCTCCACATACAGATTTTGGTGTGGTCAGAAGTTTCCATCTGTAACTTCCAGTCGTGCCCTTTGGAGCGTCTGGACTCTGCGTGCCACCCACAGCAGGCCGACCAGTGGCTTCCTGCTCCTGCTGGCCACCAGCTGCATGTCCCTTGGCTCTCTGCTGTGCACGGAACTGTGGCACCACAGCCCAGGCCTCCCCCCACAGGCACATACCAGAATCAGGCACTTTCACTGAACCCTTTTGGAAGCCTCCCCACTCAGAAGGGCCCCCAGCACTGGACCCCCTCATGCTTCCTGGACAGAGAAGCCAAGAAAATGGGAAATAGGGTCATGCAACCTTCATGCCACACCTGCACAGAGTCCTGACCCTTGGTGCCATCTGTGTGGTCCACCCCTCAAGCCCCACAGAAATGGCAGAAATGCGAGAAAGCCCAGGGAGGACACAACGTGGGAGCTTCCTGATGACACAGAAGCCAGAGCTGGGGGGCAGGAGGACACCAGGCTGCCTGCAGAGGCCCCAGAAACAGATGTGTCCCAGAGGCCTCAAGGACCCTTCCTGGCAAATGAAGCCAAACTAGGGGCCTGCGAACCATCTGCCTCCAAAAGAGTGGACTTCCCTGACCCTGAGAGGACCCGGGCCTGCCCCCTCTCTTTCTCTCTGTCTCTGTCTCTCTGTCTCTCTCTCTATCTCTATCTCTCTACCTCTATATATTTCTTTGTCTCTGTTTCTTTCTCTGTCTCTTTCTCTGTTTCTCTGTCTCTTTCTCTCTCTCTTTCTCTGTTTCTCTGTCTCTCTCAGGGGTGGGGATGGAGTGGGTGAAGAGTTTGAGAACACACGTTTCACACCACACCCTGCTCTGCCCGTGGGTTTACCCCCACGGCAGGCATTGGGAAGCTCGTACAGGGAAAAGTTGTGCAAGAAAGTAAATTGGCATAGTGTCCTACATAGTTCAGTGGTTCATATGGGTTGAATTGTGTCCCCCAAGTTTTATATGTTAGAAGTTTGGGGCCAGCCTGTGGCTCACTCGGGAGAGTGCGGTGCTTATAACACCAAGGCCGCGGGTTCAGATCCTATATAGGGATGGCCGGTTAGCTCACTGGCTGAGTGTGGTGCTGACAACACCAAGTCAAGAGTTAAGATCCCCTTACCGGTCATCTTTAAAAAAAAAAAAAAGAAGTTTGATCCCCACTGTGACTGTTAAGAGGGTGGGATATCCTATTATAATAATTGAAAGGTGGGGCATTGAAGAGGTGATTAGATTCTGAGGATCATTCCCTAATGAATGCTTTAATAATGGTGGTCATGGGTATGATTCTGAGGGCTTTAAAAAGAGAGCACATGAGAGTCTCTCTCTCTCTGCTTCTGCCGTCTTGCAATGTGATACTCTGTGTCACTGAAGCCACCACCAAGGAAAACCTCACCAGGTGCATTCTCTGGACTTGGGACTTCCCAGCTTCAGAAACTGTAAGCAATAAATTTTGTTTTCTTATAAATTACCCAGTTCCAGATATTTATATTCTAAGCAACAGAAACAGACTAATACAGCAATATTGGTACCAGAGAAGTGGGGTGTTGCTTATAATAAATACTTGAAAATGTGGAAGTGGCTATGGAACTGGGTGTTGAGGAGAAGCTGGAAGAATTTGGAGGAGCAGGTTAGAAAAAGCCTATCTGCTGGCAGGAGTTTAGAAGACAATAAAACCAGAGAAAATTTGGAACTTCTTAGAGACTGGCTAAATGGTGGTGAGCCAGAATGTTGAAAGAAATATGGACAATAAAGGCCATAATGAAGAGATCTCAGAAATAGAGGAGTTTATTGGAAACTGGGGCAAAGATCACCCTTGCTATGAATTTGCAAGGAACTTGGCTGCATTCTGTTCATACCCAAAAGGTTTATAGAATGTGGAACTTGAAGGTACTGATCCAGAATATTTGACAGAAGAAATTTCTAAGCAGCAAAACATTCAGGAAGCTGCATAGCTACTTCCAGTGCCTACACTGAGTTATGGTGGCAAAGGCATGACGTAAAGCCAGGATTTATAATTAGAAGCAAAGTGTAAAGATTTGGAAAATTTGCAGCCTGGTCATGTGGTAGAGAAGCAGAGAGCATTTTCAGGAGAAAAATGCAATGGTGTAGCCCAGCGACCATTTGCTAAGGAGATTAGTACAGAAGAAAGGGATTATCAAGAGAAGGGAAAAAAGACCTTGAAGCCATTTCAGAGATCGTGAAGGCTGTGTCTTCAATCACAGCCCCAGAGGCCTCAGGGAACAGAAATGATTTTGGGGAACAGGCCTAAGGCACCCTCCACAGGCTCGCCACACAGGGCCACATGAGGAAGCTGCTTCCAGCCCAGCATCCTGGCTGCTCTGGCTACTACAGCTGTGGCTAAATTGGCCCCAGGTGTGGCTGGGCCTGCAGCTTTGGAAGCTACAAGCCAGAAGCCTTAGCAGTGTCCATGTGGTGTTAGATCTGCAGGCTTGCAGAATGCCAGAGCTGTGGAGGCTTGGGAGCCTCCACCTCAATTTCAGTCAATGTAAGGAAAAGCCTTGGGACCCAGGGAGAAATCCGTCACAGGAGTGGAGTCACTGCAGACAGACTTCACTAGAGCAATGCCAAGAGGAAATGTGGGATCAGAGTTGCAGTGGAAAACCCCCACCGCTGCCATGCCTAATGGAGCTGTGAGAGTGGGACCACCATGGACACCCCAGAACTAGAGAGCTACCAGAGTGCAATGCTAATGTGCAAAAGCTAAAGCATCACTTCAGACCAGGAAAGACAGAGAAGTACTGCCCGAGGACTTGGGGACCCAACCCCCACACCAATGTGCAGAGGATGTCAAACATGGAGTCAAGACACATGATTCAGGCCGGCCCGTGGCTCACTCGGTAGAGTGCGGTGCTGATAACACAAAGGCCACAGGTTCGGATCCTATATAGGGATGGCCGGTTCGCTCACTGGCTGAGCGTGGTGCTGACAACACCAAGCCAAGGGTTGAGATCCCCTTACCGGTCATCTTTTTTTTTAAAAAAAAAAAGAGGGGCCGGCCCGGTGGCGCACTGCTATAGTGCGCCGCTTGGGAAG